ATGCCAATATGCAAACCTTTAAAGCATTGTCAACGGTCAGCAGAATTTCACTGATTTACAAAATACGCTCCATTGTTCTCCGCATTTTGTCTACGAAACTCCTGCCGACCGTCAATTAATCTCATTCACTTGTTCCATTAACCAGAATTAATTAATCACACATAATAGATTATGCACTTAGAAACCTCATTTTTGCACAATGTTGGAAACGACGCACGCAAACCTCAATCATGTGGGTTGACATCATCTACATCATCACGCCAATGCATTTAAAGTTTGCAATAAGCGTCTGGTAAAGTAATGCACCTATCAAAATAGCCTGAGTTATTGCTGATTGGGCACGCATCTGGAGTAGATGCCGTTATCTTCTAATAAACTGCCTTCAACTGCCAGATGCCTATCACCGGCAGTCAGCGACTCTAGTTTATGATGAAAGAAACCAAGTTAGACCAAGAAAGTGCGAGAAAATCCAAGAACATGGATTCCAGAATGACGTTCGAATTCTCTAACCCGCCAGTAATAACGGCAGATTGCCAGTTAAGAAAGGTGATCAAAGATAAGAAAAAGAAAAGTTATACTATCGAAGAGGTGGAGAACGTTTACAAATCTATAAAGGCGCCAAAATCTGGATTCTCGAAATACTTAGCTTCAATTTATGCCGACAAAGTGACCTTCAAAGCTACTGAGAAGGGGAGAAGGATAAGGCCGATCAAGTACACCGATATTGAGCAAATTATCCAGGTACCAGAAGATCTACAGTCTTTTCTAATCCATGTTCCCAAATCCAAAAAAGTCAGAGCATTTACCGCTCTCTTTACATGGCTTGACCCTCAAATGTCTGAACGATTTGAAAACGCTGTTCGTCAAGCTGATAGATCCGTAGTCAAGGCTCCACACGAAGACAATGGCGCAAATGCAAAAAAAAGAAATATGAATTCAAATTCCAATGCACCAAACGCCACTTATAATAATTTCTCGGTTCCTCAATTTCAAACTGATCCTCACTTTGTCACCTCCTCATCCTCTTCCGTATATGATGCAAGAGATTCGAGTTCTGACATCATACGAGTACGCAAACGCGTATCAGAGACATATACTCATTATTGCCCAAATCAAGCACCTTGTCGTAATGCCGAAAAGGGTGGATATTGCAACACATCTACTTCCAGTGGATCTACTAGCTCAAGTGACAGTTCCTTTGATGGAGACTCAGACGATTCGGATTGCATCTGCCGTGACAAGGATTCCGTATTTTACGGAGAGAGGATGTCGCCGAAGTCGCAGTACATCGATCGACTCCTGAGAGCTACTGTGCAAATGCGTAAAGAAAATCGCGAGTTTTAAGATGCTGTGTACCTATTTGAAGACATTATAAAGATTATTTAAATACTTCTGAGTTGCTTTTAAGTTACTGTTGTTAGAATTGGTCATATAGTAGTTACGTATCGTTTTACAGGATCGCAACTTCCTTCCTACGCATTTTACTGGAAAATGTTTCCTTTGCGTCATTATAAAGCGGTAACGGAGACCTCCCGTCTACCAATGGAGTGAAGAGACAGAAGTACATTGGTGATAAGCGCATAATACTTTGGCTTGAAGAAGTCATACATTGCTGTCACATACATTCCAAAAGAATTGATGCAGGTGTTTTTTGAATTGAAAGCGGAATTTTTTTCCACCAAGGCTGGAAATTGCAGCCTTGAACCCCAAAAAGAAGATTTAGAAACACACTAGGTACAAAGCTCTTTTCTTCGCACGTTTTTGTAAAAGCTACCTTCGTTGTTGTAGGACATAAAAGTGCATGGAAATGCAAACCAATCACCTGCGATTTGATCCATAATGCGTAATTCATTCATTAAATTACAGAATACACTCCCTTCACTTTTGCAGGCGGCTTCTGATTCTTTCATGGAATTTGATAGAGGTGTGGCAATTTTGTAAAAATGCGCACCCACCGCATTCCCTCGATTAACACTGCGTCGACTGTAACACCGAGTGCTCATGTCACCCAGTTGAAATAGCGCTTTAAATTTTTAACTTAGTACTTTTGTTTAATTTGCTTGTGCATTTCTACGGGTTACAAATACAACACAGGTCCCCATTGAATAAATCATCATGAGTTATCTCCAGTAACGCTGCTCCTTGTATTCCTTTGGGAAGCTGAACAGTTTATTAATCAGTTGATAGCAGACAAGCGAACCCTCAAATCTGCAATGCCCAAACATGCTAGAAAATAGCTAAGGTCGAATCTTGATAGCCCTACTGTTGTTTAGCTCGACTCTTTAGCATTTTAAGGTGTTTGTGAGTTCAAATGTCGTTTGGGCACAAAATCCATGATCACATAAATGCCATTCATCTGTTCGAATTGGAACTGTTTGGCAAACTTTGTTGAAAGATCCTAGCTTAAACATACCAGTCGGTAGAAGTTGCAATTATTAGCGCTTTCTTTACTCTCCATAATGCATTCGTCTAAAATTTAATTTGTATGTAACTTTTTTCGAAAATTGCTCGAAATACTGCCCATTACAGGATGGGTCATTGGCGGTTAGGGTGTCAAAGTTGTGAACACCTAACAAGCAGGTACCGTTAATGCCATTTTCATGATTGTTTTTTTTAACTACTTTGTTTGGCATTGTTCAGTTGGCAGAAATGCGATAGATGATTTATGTGCCGTTTCTGCGTAAAGTGTGACCAATAGCGTTCTACGTGGATGACTCCCTTGAGAAAATCTTGTTGTATTGTACTGGAAAGAGAATGCATGGGAATCGTAGGCGGAATTTCGACTGTCACTAGCGGAGCCTTTAAAATGCCTAAATCAAAGAGCCCTACCACGAGAAGATTCAATGGCACAAATCGTCACTAAAATTAAGGGAAACCTTCCTTCTACCACCTTTAACAAGGAATATGCGACTGACTTAAGAATTGGGAATGTATTGC